TCTGTTCTGCAGCGCGGAAAACGTTTTTAAGCGAGCTGGAAAATATTCAAATTTCACGCATAATCACCGGGCGTGGGGCGGCTGGCGCGTGTTCGCGGATATTATAATAATATAATATTTTATAATTGTCATGCGTTTATAATTAATAACAACGTCATTCCACGTCCGTGTTAGTTTTATGATAATTTTAAAATTCAACGACTTGTTTTTTAATTTACATGTCACAAAATTTTAATTAATTATACGCACGCGTAATAACAACGGCGACGCCGACGAACGAAACCGTTATATAATAATAATATTATTACAATCGTTTTTTGTACGATGACGGGGGTCATTTAGGAACTATAAAATATATTTTCCTCGGCGACAAAAGAAAATTGTACAGTATTATTACGGCTTTTCGCTTTTTAATTTTTTTTTTTTTTTTTTTGTTTGTTTTACACAATGACTACGGAAATATAAAATAACAATCATTAGGTTGGTACCACCTTTGGCAGCACTATACAAAACATACTGCGAAACGTAAATAACGAAATGTATTATAATATAGTATATTTTTATAGAAATAATTCGAAATTATCAATTCATTACTTTTTTTTTAAACCGGACGAATTGGTACATATTACCTCGGGATTGAGGCGTGGAACAAAATCGAACGAAATATAAAAAAAAAAAAAAGAGCTGATACTGGTTTACCGCTGTTTTAAGGGAGAATTCGGGAATCTAGGACACGTAAAGTTATTTAATTTTTATCTGTACCTAAGCAACAACCATTGTTAACGAAAAATGATTCGAAGCGTTTTATATCATTGCTGATTTTATTAAGTCACGAATAATTGTGGAACCATTATAATTTTTTTTTTACTCATCTTGAAATTATAAAAGTGTTGTGTATTATAGTATAACAGACGAAGAGTTTTATTCGTACCTGCCCATTCTGGCCGTGTTGTTTTGTCGATATTCCCAAGAGTATACTATATATATATATATATGGTATGCGTATAGGTATAATATAAAATATATATTAAAATTAAAAAAAAAAAAATAAAACAACTCGTATTGAATCCGAATAATTGAAAATGTGGTTTTAGAAAAAAAAAAAAAATACACATACATTTTAAATTGCATGACGTACCTAATGCCCAAAACTGTAAACAAAAATAATAAATAGAAAAAAAAAAAATGTTCATATTTCACGCGGTGACATAATAATATAATGTTCAAAATGAGAAATATATTTATATGAAGAAACAATTTCGGAGCGGAAAAATATATTTGGAACAACTTAAATGTTCATTATTCATGTTTCTAAATGGATAGCGTCGTCGTGTGTTGAGTTCAAAAGTATATCATATTATTATCTCGTGTCGTAAAATAAAACGTGCGATTATTTTATGAAATATTAAACCATAAATATTGAATTCTAGCGGGACGCAGTCGGCGGAATATTAGGTTTTTAATTTTTGATGCTGCGCCTTAGTCCCGCGTTAAGGTTAATTTATTTTTCATCGTACACGTAATGAAAATCCGATAACCGGATATGTCACCGCATGATAATAAATAACGCGTTATTCAATTCAAAAGGCATGTGCAAAATAACACAAATTTTTATCGAAAGCCGACTCGCGGTACCCATATTGTAATAGTTCCTCGACTTGGTTGCGCGCGTACAATATCATCCGTACAATATATTTTGTATTATACTCGGTGTCGGCCTGGCCATGACCGCTAGGCCGCGACCGCGGTCCGAGCTTCCGGTCGTGTTTGTGCCTTGGGATGCCTCAAAGCCCCGAGATTTATAAAATATCGTCATTTATAACATTTATAGGTAACGAATGTCTTTCGTGCGCAAATTAAATACACCGTTTTAGTATTCTGTAAACAGAGTTCGTTTTATACAGAGACTGTAGTATAAAAATCAAAAACAAATTTGCCGTTTATTATTAACATTTTGTGTGGGCGATTAACTATATTTATACGCAAAATGATTATAACTGAAATGACGCTGTAAATGGCTTTTGTGAATTTAGCGTTTATTTTACAGTGAGTACTAAGCGTGTACTAAATAATACCGTTATTGGATTTCGTGTTTTTCATCCACGAGGGCCTCTAAATAAATACAAATCGGCGTGTCAGCCCGAAACTTATACTAACTGATATTATCATGTATATAGGCCAATTTTATAAAAAAAAAAAAAATCGAATCTCTCTCTTTCACCCAAATTAATGGTAAATATGATTATTCGTCATACCATACCATAGATAACGTTATAAAAACTTGATAACTTATTATAATCTCTGACGGGAGTGTATACAAGAAAAGTTCATTATTTATCCAACCGCTGTTGAAGTGTTGCTATTAAAATAGTGTTGTTGAGTGTCCTAAACAGTTGTTCACTACGGTACAATTTCTGAGAACGTGTAAATAATAATATTATATTACAATAATCCTTGTATTATTTTTATTGTAAAACGATCATTTTTCGTGTACCCGGTATTTTTGACTTATTGTGCGTCGAACACCTAATGCGATATATTTCTGAATCAGTATAGAGAAAAACGATCAGATTTCTCATAATAAATGAATTACAGTGGCGTCGGGAAATCTTCGTTTCCGAAATTCGAGCGCTTAGCCCCGGGAATATGTGAATGAAGACGGAGGAAATGGGTGAATCGATTTTTAAAGAATTTGCTTAGGTCCACTCGCTACACCGCACACTAACAAAATATAGATTAAGTATTCGAGTCTTCTGAAAATGGAAAATCCCCATTATTATAAATACGTTGATTCCGTTATTAAAAAACAATTCGATTTTTTCCGGTTTATTCAAAACTATTTTTTCTCTGCGTGTTTAATTTCCATGATGCAACAATAATTATTTTAAACGGTACGATAGGGCGTGCATGACGCTTAGAATATGCCATTATTTTGTATAGAAACATTTTTAATTGATCTCTTGAAAGACCAAGAGATATTAAAAAAAAAAAAAATATTGGCGCACGAAAAAATAAAATAAAATTTACCTACATTTGAATATAATTTTTTTTTACAGAGAACATTATTATTAAGTCTCTTCTAAACAGCTGCGGTTATTATGCGTGCAAACCACGATTGACTTATTCGGTGTACATTATACATAAAATATAATTAGTACTCAAAATATTATAATCATTAATCAAATACACTTAAAATATTGTCGGTGTAAGTGTAACAAATAAAATCAACACAAATTAGTAAACGTATTTATACATGTATTATATTAACCATTGAATACCTATCAACCTAGACAGTTATAAATATTCACGACTAATATGCAATACGTAATAAATCATACAGCCGATTCAACGATCGAGTCGTCTGATTTCGGAATATTCATTATGATATTATTCTTTACAGACATTTTGTTTTATTTCGCTGCGTTTTAAGACGAAGAAACAATATTATATTTGCATGAATAATGGGAAACTGTAGTAATGAAATATTAATAAACGTCAAGGAAATTATAAACAATAGAATTTCATAAAAAAAAAAAAAAAAAAAGTTATACTTAACCGTGAATACCAAAAATAGATTTTATAAATTAAACATTTTTGTATTGTTCCTCGTCACTACGATTGTTTAAAATCCCCATCGAACCGAACGTAGGGCATTTTCAATTTTTCGCTGAACAGCAGCAACAGTACGACGAATTAAGCTTTTTTCAAAGTTTAAAACTATTAATTCCATAAACTATAAAATAATTTTACAATTTTCCGCGATTTTTTGCGAATAACCGGTGTTACATAAATAATATTTAGTCAAATTCAAAGGTTATATATCACGTCATATATCCCTATCTTGGATTACATCTTTAGGTTTTTTTTAAGAACGACGATCTTTCTTTTTTAGAATACCAAAAAATCCTTTCTCCTAAAGGATTGCGCTAAAAATGTTGTCCTTTTCTCTTCTCGTTGTATTTCTCGTTAGCCATTGTAAGCTGTGTCTTCTAGTAAAACTTATTACCAGCGCCATGTTTATCATGCCATATAGCTCTATTGTATTTTCATCGCCGATTATGTGTTGTTTCATTAGACACACAGATTTTCCTCCGTAGTTTTTTCAAATATTTTAATTTTCCTTTCTGCCTAACGAAGTTGTCTATGTGTGACAAGCATATGCTACAGCTGTAGGTCATATGGTCTTAAAGCTATGTTTTAATTTGTCTAAAGACTAATTTAGGTCGGAAATACTTTATGCGCACTAAATATGTTTCATGTAAGTATTAAAGTCTTATACACACAAATGTACATCTCATTGGCCCATTGATTGTCTGTGTTTAATGTTACTTTTAAATACTTCAAATCTTTAACAATTGCATACAATGATCTTTTAAAATCTATGAAATATTATCACTAATCGCAATTGTTTTGGTATACAGACAAACTTTTAATATTTGATAACAAAATAATAATTTTTCATAGTTGGAAAAACCAATTTAGTCGTAGGCATATGCTCAGAATTTAAAACCGAACTTTTACGGAAATAAATATTAATTAAACATGTTGTAGAGACGAACTCAAGGGTGTATCGCGATGGGTTTGCAATAATAATTGGTGGTACCGATAGGGAACATATTTTACAGAAAAAATATCGATTACTGATGGTCGGCAGGCTATTGAACAATCTTAAATTGAAAACCATAAAGGTTATTATATTATAGTATTATACGAGTATGGTTAGGTACGTACGCGAAACTCGAAAAAATAAATTTCACGCCAAAGGCACACCACTCGCTCACCCTCTCGCATGCACTACATCTTCCTCTACTAGTCTGTTTCGGGCGGTTTTTTTCACACAAAATATGCGATCCGGCAACCGGGAGGTCATGGAAGGGTCGGTGGTGATTACAACTAACCCCGCCGGACCGATTAACCTTCCTCTCCACCGATCCCATCAGTATTTAGCGGACGAGGTGTTCACCAAAATAATATAATATACTCAATTCGGTGTAGGAGGTCATCGCCGCCGCCAGGTCTCCGTACAATAATTGTTGTTGTGCCGAATGCAAATGATAGATATAATTTGGCTACGGGATGTTATCAATGTTCACGAGGGAGGGGCACCTAGGTTGAGGGCAGCGGACCGAATTAAAACTTGGCCGGATGCCATTTTCTTGGTGCACGATTTATCGGTTTCGTTAGAACGGCTTCCGTCCATCCGCTGGACTTGCGCGCAAATCGAGGTAAATCCCATTCAACAAAAAAAAAAAAGAAAGGAAGATAAATAAACTCATTTTGTTTATAAAATTATTTTCATTGCATGGTAAATGTTTGCGTATTCGATTCCATGTGTGGAGCTTGGAAGCTGGAATTATAGTAAGTTTTACTAAACTGTGTATTTTATTTTTTGCGGGTACACTATTTTATCAATTATACATCAAAATATTTGTACTATACTTATCTTCAGTTTTACGGACTTTCAACCCGATAGTGCTTTATTCTAAACGTTTTTTCGATAAAATTATAAATATTACTAAAGCACGCAGCCACAGCGAAACAGGTGTAATGTCGTTTTATTACTATTATTTTTTTATCGATTTCCGGTATCCCATGGTAACGAGAATAAAAAAAAAAAAAAGAGAGAGTAATTGATACGGCCGTTACGGGTCTGCTGCGCAATTAGTTTGAAAATCATATTATGATGAATCTCATTTTGAATTTTAGTTTTGTTTGAAATATTGCGCCTATAGAATCAGATTCGTTGTATTGAAAATGATTTATGTGTTTAGTAATAGTGTACTAAGGATTTCCAATAGGTGATTTTTCTTTTTTCGCGCTTCTTTTCCAGTTTAAAATCTTATTACATCCCATTTTCGCTATCCGTCGGCCGATATTGACTGTTGAACACTGACGACCATTACCTTAAAAAAAAAAGGCCGGTGAACTGACTTATAGGTACAAAATTACATAATAATTTTCAAAATTATAAAAAAATATGCGGCACTCCGGTAAAATCATTTTTTAAGAATTTATTTTTTCGGAAAAATTGTCAAACAATTGAGAAACGATATATAAACCATAAAACAGTTGATAAATGCAACTATAGAATTTACTGGGTAATTGTTTTCACTCACGTTGAAACTATCATTTCCGTTTATTTTATCTGAAAAAAATTGTCCATTATTTAGAAACCGGAGAAAATGTATCAGCGTGTTTTTGTAAATTTTCCGGTATTTCGATCTATATAAACAACGTTGCGATTCGTTTGAATTATCACACTTAAACCGCATATAATATACACAAATTATATTTATTTTAAATTATTTGTGTACACACGTGTTTGTAGAGGAATAGGCAACGTTAAAATAATATAATTAGTTAACAACTGCGATCGTCGAGATGTTGTGCATAGGTATATGTAGTTTCAAACTATGTGGATAGCAATATAATAAAACAATACAATTATATTTCACGTATTATTGCGCATGGAAATGATAACAATAATGTATAATTATTATTTCTCGAGTTTACAAAATACCAAGCGCCTCGATAATATTGAAGTTTTTCACAATATCGTCTAAATTTCGAATGTTATTTTTTTTTTTTTTTGTATTATCGTATCTAAAAAAAAATAATAATAACGTAGGTATCAAAAAAAAATCAATTAAAAGGGCGTGTAGACCTTTTAGATAGTAAACTGTATCCGTCTTACAGACGCACAATATAACACAACTTCCTTCAGCTAGGACAATATTGTGATGTTAATTTTAATATAAAAGCGAATTGACTTATAGTCAAACCTAAAATGAGAACATTAGGTATACCAAACTTTGTTTATGGGTTAATTATTAAGCGATATGTGATCATTTTTAAATTGTGATATTTCGCATATGCCTACTAACTCGTTTTGTTTGTAAGACGCACACGGTGCATGTAAGTATCACTTACACTCAATAATTAAAAGAAGTATAATCAGAGAAATTGTTTACTATTTTTGAAAAAAAAAAAAATAATAATAAACGAATATTCTAAAACATTACAGAATGTGAAATTTAACAAAAAAAAAAAAAAAGATAGCTTATACTTTTTATGGGTATGCCACTGTTTTAGAAGTATATGGTATAAAAAACAATTGCAAACAAAAAACGAATTTGAACGTAGAATAAATTGAATATTTTTTCTGTGACCAATTAACAAAAAGTATACTTAAAATTGCAAGTTTTTTCATGTATCTTCAGGAAAACTCAAAAATTGTACATCCTCAACTAATTATCTTGATCGAAAATGTCACGAGAGAGTTTCTAAGAAATTTTTTAATTGAAACAAGATTTCAGACACACACAAAAGTCACATTATAGTGAAACGTAATCATTTCTCGCATTGCTCAAGAACTAATACTGTAATACTTAAAATATAAATTCAAATTAAAAAATATGAATCTACTCAAAACGATATTCCCGATGCATTAAACACCCTCATCCGAGTAGGTATAGTTAAATCCAAGTACTCCAGAACCGCCGCTACTTATATTTTAAAAGGAGGCATTCACTTAATAATTATTGTATATTATGTATCTCGAGTAGTAATGCGGTTTTTGCCTAGGATCTACCGGTACGTTTTTTTTTTTTTTAGCTCGGTATATAATTGGTGCAATTAAATTCTTCGGTTTGTAATATGCTGGCCATGATATTACGAGCCAATTAATGTTCCTGTATCAAGTTCTTTATTGCTTTTTTTTTTTGTAATAAAAACCTATAGTAGAATTATGTTTCTCGTTGTCATTCACGTATTTTACAAAGAAATTTTTCATTGCAGTAAAATATAACAAAAAAAAAAAACTGTTTTTTTATAATAAATTGCGACAAATGCAGTTGTTATTGTCATCTAAAAGTAAGAATATTCGATTATCAATAAAAACAAAATAGCTATTAGTTTGTCAAAGGTTCATTAAATACATTTATAAGGTTGGGACGTATGCTTATTTTACTCAACAAGTTAATGATTTTTATCGTTTACTTATTATCATAACAGTTGACTTTTAAAAAAATTCAGCTATATGACGAGTTATATACGAGTTCGAATAAGACTTATCGTTTTTTCGGAATTCGATATTTAATTTTAATTGTTTGTTCTCAGTACTGTGTGTTAATGTATTGGAATGTATTTACTGTAATAGTTTAATTTAGTTTATTTGTATAAAATAATAATTCAAAATTTATAATAGTCGTATTTAATATTAAATAATTTTATTGTTGATTCTTCTGTAGAAAAAAAAAACACCTAGGGTTTGTTTTTACTGAGTAAGGTTAACATAATATTTTTGCATTTTAATTGTAATTCTTCAATTTAGTTTTTGTTAAATTTTTTTAAAATTTATTTGACTTATATTAATTTAGATTATTATATCCATTACTTTGTGCACCTTTGAGTATTACTATGGTTATAGGGTAATAATTTTAAAATTAAATTACTATACTTGAGATAATATCATTATTTCATTCGACTCTGAACGGAATCGAGGGTGGGTATAAGAGTTTACGTTTGTCTGGGCAAAAGTGAAGTCAAATAATTGAAATTCGACGGTTTTGGCATTATTGAGAAATATGTCAAGCTATTGACATACATATATTATATTAATTTTGATTATGAGAATTAAATTAGAAAAGCGGTATTAGGAGTATAAAGTCGATAATGCGGTGGATCGCCAACACTCGTCGTTCCGCTGAAAATTCGAAAAATCGATCGGTTCCTCGTAATATTATTTATTATACGAATATGGAAAATGTTTTAAGACAAAACAATGGGTTGGGTAATCGGATGCAGTTTTTGCGCTCTCGGTGAACGATTTGCAACGTATTTTTCTACGGTTACACATAATAATTATTATTCGGAACCACTCATATTTCAAGAATACGATATTACTATTACCGTACTGCGTAGTATGTTACCGTACAGATTCGTTTGTACAAAAATCCGTCGAAAATCGTTACAATTTCCTCTAGACACATAATATTATTATGTAAGTTATATTTTTTCGCCAAGTGCTGAGTATAATCGGGATCGAAACGGCGGGAAATTTCCCGGGTGAAAACTGACAAGTAATTGGATACTATTTGAATACTAGACTGAATCGGTGAATTGTTGTTTTACGAAAACTATAGAGAAACGAATTAAGGGAAAATATTAAAAATTATAACTTACAAAAAAAAAAAATAAAATAAATAATTTAAAAGCAAACAGGGTCGGTCGGACAATATATAAACATTGTTAATATTTGCATTTATTTATAATTATAACATTATGAGCGTTTTTCAAAGACAATACAAGTAATACTAGTAATACATAATATGTTATTTATAGTATGGGATATAAATAAACCTACTGTGTGTATATAAACAGATATCAATAAAATATGATACGACTGCGGGATACAGATAATAGATGTCGGGTACTCTTATCTGTTCCACTTGTTTCGGCGCGGAACGGCGGGATATGGATATATTATTTTGTATAGGTACTATAGAAATCAAATGCTAAATTATTACATTTCGAACAACGATTCCGCTCGGAGGAGGCGTCCGGCGCATTATAAAATCAGATTATCGATTTTAAGTTCGTTTCCGTCGAATAGTACGACGTTTTTTTTTTTTTTTTTTTTTCAAAAAGTTCGTATCACCTAATAACGACTGGCATATTTATGTTTACTAAAAAAGTACCCACTAAGTAATAATAATTTCGGACAACTGTGACCTAAATCTATGCACATTATCTATCTATTTTACATCAAATGTTAGCCTAAGATTAAAAGTCAGTTAACGTCGTACTATAGAGGCTATCCCGCACGAGGAAAATATCGATACCCAATTTTATAGAACCAAACAGATTTATAGTTACAAATGCTCTCAATTGTTTCTACTTGCCTTATGTTTCTTAATTTGTCTACAATAACATCAGTGATACATCATCGGTGAATCATCATTGATAAAAACCACATCTCATAAATTTTCCCTTGAGAAAAATGAGTGATAAAATCATCACAGATAATGCCAGTGCCATCACAGATGAATTAAGGAACCTATTAAAGTGTATTTTGTTAATTTTAATTTTTTAGATTTTGAATTTAGCGAAGAATGTATTGGTTTTACAAAGATGTCTGTTTTTTTTTTATTTTATTATTTTTTTTTTTTTTGTATGTGAATACCTTTTATATCAGAAAGCTTACTCCGATTATCAAGTATAGCACCTTTTCTGAAATGTAATGT